CCTCATAGATTGAGCACATTAGTGTAACATCCACACCTCAAGAGTTGACTCCCGCGAGCCACGCAATATTCCAAACCGGCTTACTTACCCTAACTCAGAGGTCCAAACTTACCTCTCCTTCGTGAATCAAGTGCCTGCTCACAACAAAAGAGACCCATTCCACAATCGATAACGTGCACACACACACTGAGGAACTTCAATATAAACAGAATTCACTCACCCTCAGAAATGACATTCATATGCCACAAAAGAGGCACCATAGGCTTTCCCGTAGTGTACTACTCTACTAATCGAGCTCATTCAGTCTAGGATCAATTAGGTCTTTATTTGGTTATAATGTAGGCTGCGGGACGGGTAGGATACATTTAGATATACGAGGGGCTACACCTCCCTAAGCACTTTAATACATGTACATTAGCATTCAAAACCCCAGACTTATGTCAAACCATGACTCCACCTCCACATCACTATATATTAACTCCCTTCTTCTTTAAGCACAATTACATCAAGAGCCACCACTTATTAAGGAATATTTTCCACAACAACACAACTATTTTTTTTTCAAGTGGCCCTTACTTTTTTAAAACAATGTACCTTTCTCCTTATCTCATCAGTTCCACTCAGAAGCCAAACCAACCACCCCATACTTTAACTTTTACAAAGTTCATACAATTCAAGTGCTCATAAGAGGTGAACAAGTTCGAAAAGATGGTTAATTCAAACAAATGGGTAAGGCTTGTAGTATGGTTGCCACAGGAACAGGATTACAGGATCAACGGGGTTAACTATGATACATAACAAATGGGTGGATGAAGTATATATATGGTTCAACAAAGAAATGCCTATATCACTTCCCAGACTAAACAAGACTACTATTTCGCTTTGCAGACACACAGGGCAAGTTCTAGGCATCAAATGCCGTGCACAGAATACAATAAGCCTCACACACACATTGCACATGACTCACTCCAAATTGAGTTATCAAACACTCTAATCAGGGTACTTAGCCAAATTAAGAACATACATTTTAAGGCATTCTTACAAGAGTCAACAACTGAGCCTAAGCGTCACACTAAAGTACCCGCTATATTCAAGGCATTACGACGTTAAGAGATCCTATTTCGTTTCCGCCCATATCCCACAAGTTTCTACTAATAATAAAAAAACTAACTAGCCCGGTTCAAATGAAACCCTTGGAAAAGAACCGTGGCTTATAGAAAAACCAAGGGGGGATTGATACACTACTACAAAAGGAAAATCTTTTTGTGTCGACTTTAGTCCCTCAAGAAACCCGTCGAATGATATCCATCGTCGGGACAAGTCGAAAATGATTTATCTAAATAAACTACAAAACTATGCTATATACAACATACCACAAAGCATCCCCCACCCCACACTTAAAATGATGGCATGTCCCCATGTCATACAAAATAGAGTAAAGCGAGGTGAAGGAACTTCCCTGGGAGATCAGCCCTGATCGGAGACAGCGCCGGGGTCGAGATGACACGCCCTCCCCAGTGCACGCAGCCAGCCCATGATTTTCTTCTCTGACTTCGCATTTTGGGTGGCCAAGGCATCAACTCTCATCCCCAAATCCGTGACGGAAGTGCGCAGCCCTGCTATTTCTTGTTCTAAGGCCGTCAGCCGTGTACTCTGTCTGATAGAAGATGAACCTCCAACCGCGGCTACTTGATCTCGTGGGGGTAAGGATGGCCCAACTTGTTCCTGTAGGGTGGAAGAAGGCCCAACTTCCTCCTGCTCTCCATCGCTCTCCTCTGACGCCTCAGAATTATCACTATCAGCTGAACTGGGTGCCATCGTGTCTTTCCCAATGGTCACTTTGGATGCCCAGAACATTGTTTCTTTCTTCACCTTGCCATCCACATTGGGGTTCTCTGACACCCTACAACCCGACACAATCTAGTGACCAGAGATGGGAAGAAGAACCCATACCTCCTCAGTGTTGAATGGATGAACATCTCTGAGTGAATAACCTTGGCCACATCAAAATCGTGGCCATTCATGAAGCACCAGATCAAAGCAGCTCTCGGTCCATTGACCTCAGTGGTGTTGTGAGACGGCAGCAGTCGACTATTGATGATGTACAGCCAACACTTTCCTTCATAGGTGAGTGAGGCGAAGTGCAACTTCGATCCTGGTACAACCCACACTACCTCCTTGTTTGGTTTACAGATAGTTAGCAAAAAAAATTGCCAATTTATGGGTTCGCGCTTGTAGTATCATAGTAATCCACCTCCCCATTAAATGCAGGCAAGCGATACACTCTCCTGATTGCTTCAATCGAGGCATTCACCCTCTTTTGTCGCACAATGCAAATATGATCCTTATGTTCAGAACAGTTGACGTAGAATTCCCTAACAAGCAACAAGTTACCGTCCTCCAGCTCTTCGAAGAAGATGACTAGCCTGTGCCTGATCAGCTCCCTATACATATTGGGGCACTCAACCTGGAGGGAACCCCTATCAACTTCCCTTTCTGGTACATGCTTTCTGATAGCCTTCCAACTGAAACGATCTTGGGCAGCTTTGGAGATAAACCTAGTGCTATCAAACTGCCCTGAACTGGCTAATGCCCATGCCCGGGAGGAGCCACCGGTAGTGCGTCTTTTCTTGGAAGATCTCGTTGTACCTACACAACAACTACCATTATCAATAATCAGCGGAATAGGTGAACCGCACTCGCACCCTTGGTCACAATTCATACTAAAAAGCTCATTGTGGCAATTCAACTAACACCTACTATGCATTTGCCCCCCAATGTACCCAAAGACCCAGTTAAACTCTATTCTTCATAATTCAACAATGTCTTCCCAACCCAACCAACCTAATGTCCTCACATACCAACATATATACCAATAAACAACAACAAAGATAATAATACCCATATTTCTACTTTCCTACACTTGCAATAAAAGAATGAAAAAATCAAAAAAGACAAAAAGAAAAAAAAGAAAGTAGAAGTATGTACTTACTTGATAATCTTGTGAGGAATGGGGTTTGGGTAGTGGTTGAGTAGAGAAGAGGGAGAAAGAAAGGAGATGTGGTGAAGTTAAAAAAATTGGGGAGAAGATGGGGGAGGGTTGCGTTTCTTTTTGTTTGTTCAGAATTGAGGAAGGGGAAGGGGGAGGGTTTTGTTTCTGTCGTTTTTGGTTAAGTGGGGGGGGGGGGAGGGGAAATAATGGGGGAGTGGGTGGATNNGGGTTTAAAAAAACTAAATAAAAAGGGACTAAGGGAAAAGAAAAGAAAAGAAAAGAAAAGAAAAATTAGAAAAACTAAACCTGAACGGCGCCAGGTCCGCGGCCGGATCCGTGGTCAGATCCGCGGCCGCGGATAGAACATTTGCAAACTCTGCGGTTGATCCGCGGTCAGATCCACGGCCGCGGATTAGGCATCCAAGATTTTTTTGTGCTTTTTCGCATTTTTGCCTATCTCCGGGATACTTTCGTCACCCCGAGTCTGTCCGCTACGCATACCTTCATTCCTGCACCTCAGTAGATTGATCAATATTGTCACCGTTCAAAAATCAAATTACGAAAAATAAGAACAAAGAAAAAATGATGGGTTGCCTCCCAGGAAGCGCCTAATTTAACGTCGCGGCACGACGCAGGCTTCCATTATTACTCTTCGCTCATATATTAGGGCTCTTCCAAAGATATCACCACTCTATCCCCCTTTTCTTCGGCCATTCCAAGGTAATGTTTCAACCTTTGCCCATTCACTTTTAACCTATTTGTACCATCTTCGGATTCAATTTCCACAGCTCCACTTGGGAACACTTGCACCACTCTGAAGGGTCCTGGCCATCGGGACTTCAATTTACCCGGAAATAATCTTAATCTCGAGTTGTATAACAACACTAGATCTCCAGTGAGAATGCATAGAATCCGGCGTGCCCAAGGAAACTTCTCATGCATCTTAATGCTTATCATGCATCATTTTCATCCTTTCTTTGTACAATCTTGCATTTGAGAATGCATATAACCTGAATTCCTCGAGTTCATGTAACCCAGTGATTCGACTGGTGCCTGCTTTCTCCATATCCAAATTCAACTGCCGCAGTGCCCAAAGGAAATTATGCTCGAGCTCCACCAGAAGGTGACATGCTTTTCCAAACACCAACTCGTATGGTGACATACCAATTGGAGTTTTAAATGCTGTGCGATACGCCCATAATGCATCATTCATCTTCTTCGCCCAATCAGTCCTTGTCGCATTCACTGTCTTGGTTAGGACAGTTTTGATTTCCCTGTTGGACACTTCAACTTGCCCGCTCGACTGTGGGTGATAAGGGGTGGTAACCTTATGATGAACTCCATACTTTTCCAACAGCCGTGCGAACACTTTATTGCAAAAATAGGTTCCATCATCACTGATTATAGCTCTCGGGGTGCCAAAACGTGTGAAGATGTTTTTCTTGAGAAAGCCTGTCACCCCCTTTGCATCATTGGTCGGGAGAGCCACAGCTTCAACCCATTTGGAGACATAGTCAACTGCCACCAGTATGTATTTGTTACCATACGAGCTGACGAATAGCCCCATAAAGTCAATCTCCCACATGTCAAATACTTCCACCTCTTGAATGGTAGTCATTGGCATCTCGTGACGTCGAGATATGTTTCTTGTCCTTTGGCACTCATCGCAGCTCTTCACCCAAGCATGGGCATCCTTGAACAGAGTTGGCCAATACAAACCTGATTCCAACACCTTAGCTGCTATCTGAATCCCTCCAAAGTGTCCACCATATGATGAAGCATGGCAAGCATGGAAAACAGAAGGTTGATCTTTCTCTTGGATACACCTCCGGATCATGTTATCTACACATATTTTAAAAATTAGAGGTTCGTCCCAATAATGAAACCGACAATCGCGAAAGAACCTTTTCTTTTGAATTGAAGAGAGTTCATAAGGTACAATACCGCTTGCTAAATAATTAGCAATATCATCATACCATGGTGTTTCTTCCATTGTCACTGCTAGTAACTATTCATCTAGGAATGTCTCTGTTATATCTTCAACCTCTACCTTCTTTTCAGCTCCTTCCAACCTTGAGAGGTGGTCTGCTACCTGTTTCTCTGTCCCTTTTCTGTCACGGATCTCCAGATTGGATTCTTGTAGCAGAAGAACCCAACGGATCAAGCGTGTCTTTGACTCCTTCGTTGCTATCAAGTACCTTATTGCTGCATGGTCAGTATATACAATAACTTTTGAACCAATCAAGTACGACCTGAATTTGTCGAATGAAAAAACTACAGCCAACATCTCCTTTTCTGTCATGGTGTATTTGAGTTGTGCACCGCTTAGCATTCTACTTGCATAATAAATTGGGTGCATCAGCTTATCCTTTCGCTGCCCCAAGACTGCTCCGATAGCATAGTCATTTGCGTCGCACATGAGCTCGAATGGTTGCTCCCAGTTGGGTGCAACAATGATGGGTGTAGTCACCAATCTCTTCTTCGGCTCCTCAAATGCTAACCTGCAATCATTAGAAAACACAAAGGGCTGATCCTTTTCAAGGAGTTTGCATAAAGGGTTAGCAATCTTAGAGAAATCTTTTATGAATCGCCGGTAGAATCCGGCATGCCCAAGGAAACTTCTCACTGCCTTGACTGAAGTGGGAGGTGGCAACTTCTCAATCACATCAACCTTAGCTCGATCAACCTCAATTCCTTTGATGGACACTCGATGACCCAAGACTATCCCTTCTTGTACTATAAAATGGCACTTCTCCCAATTCAGCACTAAATTTGTCTCCACACATCTTTTGAGCACTCTACTTAAATTGTGAAGACAATCCTCGAATGAATCACCCACCACGGAGAAACCATCCATAAATACCTCCATAATATCTTCAACCATGTCCGTGAAAATGGCTAACATACACTGCTGGAATGTAGCCGGTGCATTGCAAAGTCCAAAAGGCATTCTTCGAAAGGCAAAGATGCCATACGGGCAGGTGAATGATGTTTTCTCTCTGTCTTCAGGTGCTATTGAGGTCTGATTGTACCCCGAATATCCATCCAAGAAATAGAAGTGAGATCGCCCAGCCAACCTGTCCAGCATTTGGTCAATGAATGGAAAGGGAAATGGTCCTTCCGGGTGGCTGTGTTCAATTTCCGATAATCCATGCAAATACGCCATCCCGTGACAGTACGAGTAGAGATCAACTCGTTATTCTCATTTTGTACGACCGTCATTCCTCCCTTCTTTGGCACACACTAAACAGGGCTGACCCAATTACTGTCAGGGATGGGGAAGATGATACCCGCATCTAACCATTTGATCACTTCCTTCTTCACCACCTGTTTCATATTCGGGTTCAGCCTTCGTTGATGTTCTCTAGAAGTTTTGTGCCCTTCTTCCAAGAGAATCTTGTGCATACAAAAAGCTGGGCAGACACCCTTTATGTTTGCCATGGTCCAACCAATAACAGTCTTACATTCTTGTAACACCTGTAGGAGTTGCTCTACCTACACAGCTAGCAAACCAGATGATATAATAATAGGTAAAGTAGAACTAGGCCCTAAGAAAGTGTATCTGAGATGCGCTGGAAGCGGTTTCAGGTCCAACTGTGATGGCTCCTCTATCGATGGTTTCGCAGGTGGTGATGTTCTTTCTTCAAAGTGTAGGGGCTCAAACTCGGGCTCCCTTTTCCAGAATCCTTGACCTTCAAGAGCCATGACCCACTCTGCCAACTCTTCACCATCCACATTTTCTAGATTTATCACGCAGGCCTCCAACGGATCCCTGACATTAATAGTCGCATCCTCCTCTTGTAGTAATACATCTACGGCCTCGACTAGTGAGCAATTTGCAAATTCGCTGGGTTTTCTCATAGATTGTTGAACATTGAATATTATCTCTTCATTGTTCAACCTCATTTTCAATCGTCCAGTCTCATAATCAATCAATGCTCTCCCAGTGGCTAAAAACGGCCTGCCCATAATGATTGGTATCTCCTCATCCACTTGACAGTCAAAAATGACGAAGTCTGCAGGGAATACAAATTTCCCCACTTGAACAAGCACATCATCAAGAATTCCTGTCGGTCTTTTGACTGTGCAATCAGCCAGTTGTAGCAACATTGAGGTCGATCTAGCTCTGCAAATGCTAGTTTTGTATAGATTGCCAATGGCATCAAGTTTATACTGGCTCCCAAGTAACACAATGCTTTGGCAAAAGCATAACTCCCAATGGTGCATGGGATAGTGAAACTACCTGGATCAGACACCTTTTGAGCCATAAGTCTAGTCATCACCGCGCTGCAGGTCTGTGTTAGAGTTACAGTGGACGAGTCCTGGAAGTCAAATTTTCGCGACATCAGGTCCTTCATCATTTTTGCGAACCCTCGCATTTCCCTCAAAGCATCCATCAGTAGGATATTCAATTGAAATTGTGTGAGCATTTCCATGAATTTCCTGTATTGATCATCTTTCTTTTTCTTTGCCAACCTCTGAGGGAATGGTGCAGGAATCAACCTCTGCCCAATACTTTGTGTCTTTTCTTTGCTGGAAGCTTTTTCTATTACCTGTTCTAGGAGTTGTTCACCTTCCTTCTCCTTACCCTTGTCAATCTGTTCTTGCTCGATTACAACCTCGGTGAGTTCTGCAGATTCATCTGTCTCAAATGTAACTGGGGTAGCTGGAGTAGTTGGCGTTGTCTCTCTCCTAGATTGAGCAACTTCTTTCTTCCTGTCTAAATCTCTCACATTCCTGAGACTCACTACCATGAGCTGATTCGGGTTCTGCTCCTTTGGATTAATGTTTGTATCTGCAGGCAATGTTCCTTGTGGGCGATTGTTCAAGGCCATAGATAGTTGTCCCAATTGAGTTTCAATGCCTTTGATTGCTGAATCATGTGTAGCTAACTTCTCTTGCATCTTTCCATTCATACCAATGAGTTGTTGCAGCATACCCCTGATTTTGATCATGTTACTATCATGCTGCTGATGAGGTGGTTGGTAGGTAAACTATTGTTGGTGCTTCTGATTATAGCCCTATTGCCTTTGATAAGGCATGACTTGGCCTTGTGGTCGTGCTCCTCCTGGATTGGGGTTGTGCTGCGGCTGGTTTGGTATGTACTGCTGGTTTGCTGTTGGTCCCTATTGCTGACCACCTTGCCTCTGACCACCAAAGTTATTGACATAATTCATGTCTTCTCTGAATCCCTGGTTGTCATTCTCTCCATTTATGCAAGGAGTGCACAAGCCTCCATTTGTGGTATCCACAATGTGCACCTGTTTTGTACCCATCTCATTGATTTTCTTTGTTAGCAAGCTCACCTGGGTCATAAGAGTGGCTATGTTTTCTGCATTTGTGTTGTTTGGGTCCAGTGCGATAGAATGCACTATTGGTGTGAGTGTTGTATCTCTCGTCATCCAGCCTGAATTTTGAGACATCTTGCCAAGAACAATCTTACACTCTGTGAAGGTTTTGCTCAAGAATGCACCCCTTGCAGAAGCATCTACATTGGCTTTCAGACTGTCAGCCAAGCCCATATAGAATCTCTGTCCCAGCATCTGATCCAGAATGCCATGGTGAGGGAACTTCACCAACATGCCCTTAAACCTCTCCCAGGTCTCTTGCAAAGTCTCAGTCGGCTTCTGCTTGAATTGCAATATCTCATCAATCTGCCTTGCAGTTTTTGTTGGGTGGATAAAACTTGTTTAGAACTGTTTAACTAGTTCCTTCAGTAGCAATGGAGTT